TTATCTTTAACAAGTGAGCTCTAACTCTTGTGTAAGAGCTTTTCTTGATGGCTTGACAAAAGTTGCATTGCCATGAAAAATTTCCACCCCCTCACTCAATTTTTGAATTTTAGTTACGTATTGCCAAAGAGGTTTTGAATCATCTTCAATGTTAAAAGAGGTTGTTTCTTGGGATGGATTTGAATTTGATGAAGATGTCATCCAAATGTGTAAGCACAATGAAAGAAAATGAAAATGAAATAAACAAAACTAGGTTCACAGAAACATGAAAGAAAATGAAAATGAAATAAACAAAACTTAGATAGAAACAAAACGTACAAAAAAAATCATTTTACCTAAGAAAACAAAGAAAAACAGAGGCAGAGGTGTCGGCGGCGGCAAGGGCGAGCGGCGGTAGCAGCGGTGTCGGCGGCAAAGAAAGCATGCAGTGGGAGATTGTTATCGTGGGTTGGGTGGGTAATGAGTATTAGGTTTTTACTTTTTATTATTGATTTGTTTTGTTTTTTAATTAATAATTACTAATGGCCATTGGGCCTTTCTATTTGGGCCCAGAAAACCCACAAACTTACACAGGCCGTGTCCAGGCTATGTCTCAGCCGTGTCCAACCGTGTCCAATATTTAAAAAAAAAAATTCAGACACGCCAAATTGTGTGTCTGACACGTGTCCGGCACGTGTCCGGGCGTATCTGTGTCGGACACGATACTTCGCCCAAAAATAAGTGTCCGTGTTTCATAGATTAGAAGTATCTAGAATCTGTGAGATCGAATAACTGACTAGAAAAATCTATTTACTTACGTTCCAAGGATCCTTCTCCTATAAACAGGAGAGATGTCCACACATATTAAACAAGTGAGAGACGCCAGACATCTGAGGTAAATGAAGAAATAGAAGAAAGTTTGTGAAGTGTGAGGGAGCCTTCTCTCAAAGGGTGTCGTCCATTTTTGTTCTTTCTAATAAAAGGAGAAATTATCTATTTTTGTTTGTGCTAATTTTTTCTATCTAGACCAACATTTTTATAAGTTAGGTGTTGTCGATTTTGATTATGTTAGGTTGTTTGTATAAAAGTTTGAGTTGGATAAAAATAAAAAGCAAATGAAAATTAGTGAGTTTTTCGAGTGAAGAAAAACATATATAACAAAAGAAAAGAGTAATTTGGAAACATATCTCTACAACTCACAAAGTTTCTCTCTCTGTCATATTTAATGAAAACTTAATTGTTTACCACATAGTAAGTAATCTACTCAACTCATTCATTGGAGGACAGAAAAATCAACATCTCGCCCCACTTTTGTTGTACTACCAAATTTTTTTTGAAAGAAAATTAACTATGTTACAATATTGTAATAAAGATTTTAAATTATAGAAACCAAATTAAAAATTAATTCTCTTGTCTATCTAGTCCTTAGTAGTTAGACATCAATGGTAAAATATATTTTTGGTCTCGAGATTTGAAGTAAGTGTCTATTTGATCCTTAGAGTTCTAAAATAGACGCCTTTGATTAGATAGCTACCTTAACGGAAAAAATGATGTGGCAAAAATTTTAATTTTTTTTTATATTCAAACTGGCATTTTTTTCTTCCTCCTCCCTCCTTCTTTCTCCCCTACTTATTTGTTTTCTTCCTCTTCATGCTATTAGGTTGATTGTTGTAACCTCCTCTAGTTATGATTCTCCTCTAAATTAGCTAACTTATTCAGTATTATTTGTAAATTAGTTATACTTAGGCTCTAAAACAAGCTCCTCGGGCTTGGTTTGAACGCTTCATCAATAATCTGTTAACACTTGGGTTTGTACTTCTTTATTTGTACGGTCTGTTGATGGATCTCTGACTTTTCTCCTCTTATACGTAGATGATATTATCATCACTAGTTCCCGATTCTTCCTACATTACTGTTCTCAAGAAAGCTCTAGCTACTGAATTCCAAATATATGATCTTGGTGCTCTGAGGTATTTTCTGGGTTTAGAATTTAAGTCCTTACCTACTGGTATTTTTGTGAATCAAGCAAAGTACTTACAAGATTTATTAGTCCATTCTGAAATGTGCTCAGCCAAATAATGCTCCACTCCTATGTCCACTTTTATAGATCTACATGCTTCTGGTCCCATGTTCACTGATGCATCTCTCTATCGTCAATTGGTGGGTTCATTACAATACTTGACGTTTACTTGTCCTGACATTACTTTCTCTGTCAATCGGGTTAGTCAGTTCATGCAACATACCATAGTTGTTCATTATTCTGCGGTTAAACGTATTTTGCGATATCTAAATGGCACCAAGGATCTTAGCATTTTGTTCCAGAATAGTGCCTTGACCCTTTCTGCCTTTTGTGATGCTGATTGGGCTAGAGATGCTATTGATCGCCGATCTACCACTGGCTTTGTTGCGTTTCTTGGCTCGAGCATTATTTCTTGGTCGACCAAAAAGCAACATACTGTGTCGCGTTCTTCTATTGAAGCTGAGTATCGGTCTTTGGCTACTACTACTGCTGACTTATACTGGCAACGACAACATTTATGTGACTTGTATGTTTATTTGAAAGATCCCCCCATATTATGGTGTGATAATGTTTCAGCAATATCTCTTGCCAGCAACCTGGTGTTCCATGCTCGCACCAAACACATAGAAATTGATTATCATTTTGTTCGTGAAAAGGTCGTGCGCAAGGATATTTCTGTTCGTTTTGTGTCATCCAAAGACCAAATTGCTGATTTATTTACCAAGGCGCTGTCTACACAAGCCTTTTTATCTTTACGTAGCAAACTCATGTTTTCTGTTCAACCTTGAGTTTGAGGGAGTGTATTAGGTTGATTGTTGTAACCTACTCTAATCATGATTCTCCTCTAAATTAGCTAACTTATTCAGTATTATTTGTAAATTAGTTATACTTAGGCTCTATAAAAGGGCTCCTTATATTCACTTCAATCTCATCTCAATATAAAAATTGTTCTATCTTCATCTCTCTCTTTAGTTTTGTTACATGCAACTGGCCACCGCTCTTAATTGTTCGTGGTTGTGTGGAGAGGGGGAAAATTCCCTCTCTCCTTCGTTCTAAATCTAAATGAAGGAGGGAAGGATAACTCTTCCCTCTCTCTAGCGAGGGCAAGGGTGATGATAGGAGCTTGCCATCGTTGGAGAGAGGGAAGAACTCTCCCTCTATCCTTCGTTTCGAGAGGGGACTCTCCTTTCTCCTTTTGTTTAAAATCTGGAACGAAGGAGAGAGGGATAAACTTTCCCTCCCTCCGACGAGCAACGATCAGACATTGTAGGGACGGGAGAAGGAAGAAAGAAAATGTCCAAGTTGGATAAAAAAATTATGTATAAATTAATAATTTTGGCACGTCACTTTTCTGTTAAGTTAATTAATGGTCAAAGGTTGCTTAAGGGCCATTTAAAACAAATTTTCAACTTTTCAAAGACTAAAAGTGTCTATTTTAAAATTTTATGGACCAAATATACACCTATTTCACTGATTATTTTGAAAGTTAAAATACAACTTACGTAGGTACCTGCTCCAAATTCCAAAGGTCAAAACTGTATTTTTTTCGTTGAAAAAAAAAACATATAAATAAGTGTAAATTTTTTAGTAATCAACGTGAAAATGGTTCACTATTATTTTTCGATAAATGAATAGACCCATTTTCTAGCTCAGGCGGGAAAACAAAGGTCCCCTTTGGCAGAGCCAGGTAACGCGCCAGCCACCGACGCGCCGCCGTGCTGCGGCAGTTTGGAACGCGAGCTCGTAGACTTTAGCGCCACCGAACAACCTTAAATACCCATTTCGTCTCTTTACTATTGACCCAGAAACCAGCACTTGAAATGATTCCGAAGACATTTAAGGACACGATCGTTCCCCTTTTAAACAAATCCAAGTCTCTGCAACATCTTAAACAAATCCATGCCCACCTCCTTAAGACCCACCTCCCCGAAAATCCATACGCCRTCGCACCTCTACTCGCCGTCGCTGCAACTTCCGGCGACGATAGCGGTTCTTTGTTTTCGTACGCTTGTGCAATTTTCGAGAACCTTCGGCAGAGGAACACTTTTATGTATAATTCGATGATCAGAGGGTATGTTCTATCACGTTCTCCGATACAAGCAATTCTATGCTACTTAGATTTGATTAATCATGGGCTTTTGGCTAATAACTATACTTTTCAACCATTGATAAAAGCTTGCGCGTTAGTTTATCATGATCTGAAGCGAACAGGTAATTTAGTTCATGCCCATGTTATTGTACTCGGCTATGAGAATGACCCTTTTGTTGTTAGTACGCTCGTTGAATTCTACTCCTTAGTGGATTTGAAAATTGCGCGGCAACTGTTTGATAAAAGTTCTGTGAAGGATGTGGTTGTGTGGACGGCGATGGTTGATGGGTATGGGAAGATGGGGGATGTTGAGAGTGCTAGGGTGTTGTTTGATGAAATGCCAGAGAAGAATGTAATTTCTTGGAGTGCTATGATGGCTGCCTATTCTCGGGTTAGTGACTTCAGAGAGGTGCTCTGTTTGTTTAGGCAAATGCAAGAGATGGATATTAAGCCCAATGAATCAGTTGTTGTCAGCGTTCTTACTGCCTGTGCTCATCTTGGTGCTATAACACAAGGGGTTTGGATGCACTCCTACGCCAAGCGGTACAGGTTGGAGTCTAACCCAATATTAGCCACTGCATTGGTTGACATGTATTCAAAATGTGGATACATCAAATCAGCTTTATCAGTTTTCGATGGTATTTCAAATAAAGATGCTGGGGCTTGGAATGCTATGATTTCAGGTGTTGCAATGAATGGAGATGTGAAGAAATCTCTTGAGTTATTTGATGAAATGGTCATCAAAGGAACTAATGCCACAGAAACTACATTTGTAGCTATCCTCACCGCTTGTACACATGCCAAGATGGTTGATAGGGGCCTTAAATTGTTTGACCAAATGTATACCGTTTATGGAGTTTGGCCTCAACTTGAGCATTTTGCTTGTGTGGTTGATCTTATGGCTAGAGCAGGTATGGTGGAGGATGCTGAGAGATTTATAGAGGAAAAAATGGGAGGCTTCAGTAAAGTGGACGCCAATGTGTGGGGAGCAGTACTTGGTGCTTGTAGAAAGTATGGGAATATTGAAGCTGGGAACAGAATTTGGAGAAAGCTTTCAGCTATGGGTATATCAGATTGTGGTACCCAAGTCCTCTCATACAACATTTATGCTGAAGCCGGGTGGGAAATGGCGGCAAAGGAGGTAAGAAAATTTTTTGCAGAGGCAAGAATGAAAAAGACACCAGGTTGCAGCGTGTTGGAGGTTGATGGTGCAGTTCAAGAGTTTCTTGCAGGCGATCTTTCTCATCCACAAGTGCAAGATATATGTGAAATGCTCGGTTCTCTTTCTAAAATGGTGAAGTGGGAAACACTTGGTCAAGTAATTTAGAAATGGTTTTTAGACAGGAGAAAGCCTTTAAGAAGTTGCACGTGGTTTGTTGGTAAAAAAAAAAAAAATAGCTTCAGTTGTTAAGTAATTGATTTCTTTATCTTTCTAAAAGCATAACCAAGTTCTTTTGATTACAGAGACTTCTGACGTCAAAAGAATTCTAAAAGTTTCCGTCCTTGAGCTTGAGGTGGAGGAAGCACAGAGTCATGCACTATCCAGCCAAGGTATGAAACAGATCTAGTAAACATGTTGTACTTGTAGGTTAATTACGACTCGAATTTCATTCTCATATATCATATGAAATAATCAAAATCAAGTGATTCATTTTTCGTATCTTTTTTCTTGTAGATCACCTATACTTTGAGAATATTCGGGTATCCTCCATTTGCGGATGGCCTTAGCGAGATATTTTCATCTTATGCAAATCATCTACATGGTAAATCTCCATCTATGATTTCAATATGTAATTAAGAAGCATCACGTTTCTCTCTTTAGGCATGAAAATAAAACATGCTTTGCTTGGAAGTTAGGAAGCAGTGTCAGACACAAATACCTCTGAACACTCTTGGGATACGTGTCCGACACGCAAAATAGTGTGTTTTTTTTTTTCAACACGCGACAGACACGCCAAAGACATACCATATAAAATTTATGTAAAAATTATAGAATAAATATAAGTCCACTTAAAACTAAATGAAAAAAATAAAAAAATAAAAAAAGGCACCCCAGATTAAAAAAGAAAAAAAAGATTATAACTTAAAAAAAAACTAATGAAAGAGAACTAGTCTGTGGAAATGCTCTCTGCCTTCCATTGCCCTCTGCCGTCCCCTCCACCTCCGGTTGTCCTTTACATCAGCTCAACTTCGCCGCTATATACACATATATTATCTAAATTTTTTAAAAGAAACAACGTGTCTTACATTTTTAGAAATTAGCGTGTAACCGTGTCCATGTTGTGGAGACTCCAAGACCTTGCCAAGAACTCCAGAGGTTCCTGTGGAGTGTGGAGTCTGAGGCTGAGGAATTGAAGGCAAAGATGACACCATTTTCAGCACTTCATCTTCCTCCACATTCTTCAGCCCATGAATCGAACCATATTTCCAACCTGAACAGTAGCCTTTTCCATTTCTCCACTCCAAATCCTCTTTCAACAGCCATTGTGAAAAGTAAAGGAAAGGAAAGGAAATGGGACAAGGAGAAAGAAAAAAATAAAATAAATGAATAAAAATGAGAAAGAAGGAAAGATTTGTTAGTCGTTTTCAAGAAAAATAAATATGAGTTTCCTTGTTTTTTAGCACAATAACTTCTATTTGGCCCTTCACTTTTGTGTATTGTTGCTTGAAATGAAGATTATTTAAAATTAGAAAGAAGAGAAAAAGCTAGCTTCAAAAGTGAACATTTAGTTTACTTTGTGAAGAAGGAAATTTGATTGAGAAAGGAGTAAATATTTAGTAAGTTGTAGTCGTGGTAGATTGAAGGAAGATAAAAGAACAGGAAAATCTAAGTAAGAAGAGAGAATTTTGAGCTAAACGCAAGTCATTCATGGATGAAATTAAGATGAGGGTAATAGAAGGAAATATTTTAGAGTAAAATATAGTTTTAGCCCCTGAAATTGATGTTAGATTTTGTGTCCCGTGTCCGTATTTCTTAGCTTGAAAGACACTAGTATAGCCATACGGGGCATGAGGGACAAATTTCATATGGAACACTGAATAAAAAATCTTAAATACCCCTATCATTCTGATTTTTTTCACACGTGAGGCAGATCATTATCATATCAATCTCATGCTTATATGTGGAGAGTCAACACTTGTGGCACCAACATTAGTTGTACCGAGTTATTTGTTGCTGGCCGTTACTGGGATCAGGAGGCTGCACTCTCTGGTGTCTACAGAATCAATGAGGAACCATAGGCTGGTGGAGCCAATCTTGCAGGGTCACCCCTGCTTGGTAAGTTGATTGAGAATTACTGAGACACCATAACATAATTCATAAAAATAAATATCTGAGTTTCAATGCCTCGGTAAATATTGAGTTAAGTCGAGGTGTGTATAGATTGATCCAAAGGCTCAAGATTGTGAAGATAGGATTATCTGCGAAATCAGTGTTTTTAGGTGAAACATTTATCTATAAATACTTTTAGGATAAGTTCTAGTCAGGGATATATTAAGAGTCCTTTTGGCACCTCAAAATTATCATGTGTGGGAGTAAGTAACATAAGAGTGCTTTTCAAAAGGAAAATTGCAAGCAGTTAAGTGTTGCGTAAGAAAGCAGTTGTAGAATGCTTTTGGCTCAAATACCTTGTCGAGAAACACTTTAAATGTACTTTTAATATAACGAAACCTGTGAAGCATATTATTACTAAAAGTACTCTGCACTCCCAAAACTCATGTTATTGCTTCTAAAACTATTTATCTCCCAAAAACTCATATTATTGTTGTTAGTTATGGCATGGTGTGAACTGAAAAGTGAAGAACGTTGATTATAACATTACATTTTCTTGCAGTTTTTTTTTTTCCTTTTGTTCATCATCTGATACGTCTATTTTTATTTTTGGAATTTGTGCAAGATCCGAAGAAGACTGCATCACTGGGAAAGTTCTAAAACCCAGGCGGTGAAAGGTCAACTTTCTTATCACCAAGCAGTAAAAAATATTTTAATTGCAAGATTATTTATCAAACTGTCGATTACTTTTAGCTTGAATTTGATGATAAATTTCTATTTAGTCCCTAAATTTTAAAAAACGACAATTTGATACTTGACCTTTAGAAAATAGTTTTGAAAGATCTCTAGAGTCAAACTTCCGTTAGTGTCACAAATGGAAGGATGACATAGCATTGATCGTAGTTCATTGCATGCGTGTATAAAGTTTCTTCATCATCATCTCTCCCTCTCCACGCCCCCCTCTYCCCCTTCTCTCAAAAATCCAGATCAATAAAGCTTTTATTTCTAACCCAAAACTGTTTTTTCTGACACGTCAGACAGAGTAGATATACCAAACTACCCTTGAAATACGAATTATTGAGAAGTAGAATTCGGGCGAATTCGACTGATTCTCGATTGGGTTTTATTAAAATAATGTAATAAAGTTGGGTATGGGCGGGAACTACTGTTTATCATTTACCTTCAATTTTCGATCGAGGTTTGACGAATTCTCGCTCGAAGTCTTAATCAATACAACCAACGTTTCAATTAACATGCACACCTAAACGTTTAATGTTCAGAAAATCATACTTACGAAACTATTAATTTTCTACTAGTCCATTTTGTACTTAGCATTCAGACAACGCAATAATAGGATCATTGTACTCTCAGAAAGTATACCATGTTTTTTTTTACTATCAAAGTCAAATCCTCAATCTATCTCAGGACTTGGGTGGTTTCTTGTTGGATATATATCTCACACCGACGAGGTAGATGTTATTTCTTTTAGAAATAATGTTATCGTTTTCATACCCTATTGCATAGAGTGAATCTTCAGTTTTGCTTTTATATATATATATATATATATATATATATATATTTATTTATTTATTTATTTATTTATTTATTGATAAGATAGAGTGCATCTTGTTGGTCACCAATCTACATTTGTCTATGAAACTCAGTCGGGGTTCTTATATTTTTGCTCGAGTTTTGTATATTTTCGATTCTTGGTCGAGGTTTTTGACGTTCACGATCGAGTTCTTCATGTCGTAAGAACCTCACTTGCGGTTTCACGGATTTCCGCCCGAGTTTTGATATATAATCATATTGTTTTGATTTTTTAGAATGTTCTTGTTTATATTTTTAGTTTATAATTTTATATATGTATGGAGGATGCCTCATTTGTTTGTTAGTTACGGTGGTTAGTGAAATGAGGCACAATCTATCTATGATAGTGGAATTATGGGAGGTTTGGATATAGATGATAGTATAAAATATGATGAGCTCATGAGTGCGATGTACAAGCTCGCCCGAATAGATCTTGACAAGTTCAATATTGTGATACAGTATCTGTCATATCGAAGCAAAGTCACGACAGTGGTAGCAGTTTACAAAATCCCATCATTCTAGGATCTAAAGCGTTCCATTAATTTTCTTACCAGTTAAGGCAAGATGTTCCTTATTATGTCCCCTCAATTCCTATTCATTCCACGCTATCGAGTGTTGGTTCCTCATGTTCTGTCCCGTCAATAACATCGTTGACTGAAAATCTGGTTCCATGCAACTTAGGTGCTGATAAACTAAACTACTATGATCAGCGGGACAAGGATGATGAGAATGACGTGGGGTACGAGGCTGAGGATAACGATGGGGGTAATGATTACGAGCCTGATGATATTGAGTTTGAGAATGATATTGGGATTCACAATGAAGAGGAGGTGGAGCCATTGGTTGTAGATGCCCCTTCTTCCACACCCTTACTTGAACTAAACACGATAAGTATGAATGCACCTTGTGTCACTGTCCAAGCTTTTTACTATAGAGATATCAATAGGACAGGTGATGAACTTGGGTTGACCTCAGAAGAGATTGCAGGAGGGAGTACTTTCCGATCAAAGGCAGAATTGCAGTTCAATATATCGGTGCTCGCAATGAGTTTGAATTTTGAATATCGCGTTAAGAAATTTATGAAACTTTGTTAACTGTCGGATTCTGGGAGGATAGATGCAAATGAGGCTTGCGTGCGAAGAGGATTCCTGATTCTGATACCTTCATCATCTCTAAGTTCTTTGGTGTGCAGAATTGCAAAGATGAGGTAATGAAACATGACCACCGACAAACTCAAAGTCGTGTGGTGGGTCAAGTCATAAAGTCCAACTTCTAGGATCCAAGTCGTCGTTAKAGGCCGAAAGATATTGTTAATGACATGCATAAAAATTACAACGTTGACATCCGATTTGAAAATGCGTGGCGTGCGAGAGAAGTAGTCTTGAACCTACTGACGGGATCGCTGAAGAAGTCTTATACTCTTCTGCGTAAATATGACGAGGCGTTGAAATCTGTGAACTCATGCACGGTTTTTAACTTGAAGCATGAGGATGATAAATATTTCTAATACTCGTTCCTAGCCCTTGGATGCTCTATCAGTGGGTTTAGAAGTTGCATTCGCTCGGTACTTGTCATTGACGGCACTCATCTGAAGGAAAAATATATTAATGTGTGATACTTATTGCTTCTTGCATTGATGGTAATAATCAGATATATCCACTAGCATTTGGAATTGTGGCTAGGGAAAGAGACAAATAGTGATTTGGTTCTTAGAGCGAGTGAAAAGTTCGCTTGGAGAGGTAGTGGATTAGTTTTTGTGTCTGATCGACACCAAATCATTAATAACTCTGTAGCTACTGTCTTCCCCATTGCAGGACACGTAACTTACATGCATCACGTGCTAACTTGAATTATAAGTTTAAGATTAGGAACGAGAGCATGTATAGGTTGTACATTCAATTATCGAAGGCATTCAAGAAATCGACCTTCTTGTAGGGTTCGACAAATGGTCACACGCCTATCAACCTGGATTGAGGTATAACAAAATGACAACTAACATTGCAGAGTCCATGAATGCGGTACTTGTGCATGCATGAGCTTTGACAGTCACTGCATTATTCGAAAATTGTCGGACTATTCTACAACGATGGTTTTATGAATGGCAGCATACACATCCACAAGATGATCTTTTCTCATTGACTATGTTGAGGACATTCAAAGAAAAGCCGTTGAATAGGCTCGACGAAATACCATTAGACCGATTGATAATTACGAGTTCGAGGTACATGATGGTAGTAGTAAAGTGCGTGTCAATCTAAACAATATGACTTGTACGTGTAAGCAGTTTGACTACTATCAGATTCTATGCTCTCATTCTGTTGCTACGGTCATGCTTCGGAATGTCAATAGGTACACGTTTTGTTCATCCAAGTATAATTTGGAGACGTTAATTACTGCATATGCCTAACCAATCTACCCAATGYCTAACCAATCTACCCACTGGGTGACGGGGAGGATTGAGTTTTATYGAAGGACTTTGTCAAATTCACCATCGAGCCTTTGAAATTTGTTCCAAGAGTTGGGCGTCATCAAACAGTACAAATTCCTTCCGTCGGAGAGCCCCAATAAGTTCACAAATGTAGCAGGTGTGGAAATTAGGGTCATAATCGGAAAACTTGTCGCCGGCCTTTAAGAACCATAAAATCTTAGTTGCTATGTAATAGAAAGTTGTTGCATTTTTTGTACTAACGTTTGGTGTAACGTTCGATGTATATTTTGTGAGCTACAAACTGTTGGTTGGAAAATAGAAAGGTATAAGTTGGTCTCTTTGGGAAAAATCGTGGGCCAAATTGAAGGAGTCTCGCCTGTTTTTTTTTTTTTTTTGGTATATGAGATGTATTATTTCTGGAAAATAACTCGAGCGAAATCACAGGATACTTGCTCGGGTTTTTTGTTACGGAAGTATAACCTCTCTAACAAAACCTCGGGTGAAATTGTGGTTGCCCGGGTTATTTTGAAGAAAGGCCCCATAACCCTGGGTGAAATCGATGTAGACTCGCCTGGGTTTTGTTTTAGATTGGATTGTGTATCTGAACAAAACTTCGGGCGAAATCGATGGAGACTTGCTCGGGTTTTATTTCAGACTAGATTGCCTACTGAACAAAACCTCGGGCAATCTCCCCCTTCTCCAGATCGATGCAAACCATGATCCAATGGTTTCCATCGATGTTATACAATAAGTACACAACGTCCAATTCAAGCCACCATTTCTGGTAGTCTGTGTGAGTGTCGTCTATGTAGCTAAGAACAATTTTATATTTGCCGGCCCAATCGTAATCCGTTGCAACTCTCAATGGAACAACATTCGAGGCTATCAAGTGTTGGTATATTACATCGATTCGTCGAAATAAGTTATGTGGTTGGACACGAAGACATGTTAGAACATGAATTATTACGTACGGCAACGTATATTATATAGATATCGTATTGCAAGAACTATGTCATCGGTGGTAAACTTTCGACAACACAAGTCTGAACATTGCTCGATCTTGTTCCTCGTGAACATAATCAACGAATCAATCACCTACATAGGTTACTATTGTTAGAAAATTGTAATCAACAACGTAATCACATTTAAGGTTTCGACCTTGTACCTCACTCGTCAACCACTTGTCGGGATGAGGTCACGAAACCATGTCTTTCCTCGATCACGATTGCATGACTTACGAGTCGAATGGTTAGTCCTAGGGTTGTCCATCCATGCATGAAACTTATTGACGTGTCCGGAAAGGGGGGGGGATTTGGACTAGTGAATTGTACCGAGTTACCTTCTTTCTCTTCCCATCCACCATAACTAGGAATGAGCCTCGAAGTTTCCATGACAATTTCCTCTTCTGCGACCCTCATCGAGGTTGAGAGCGATCAATCAACTGAGAGAGCACACGTACCATATCTGAGTCCACCTGCGACGTGTCGGATGTATGCTCATCAATCTGGGATTTAACTTCTCTTATTTCTTCCAGATCAGAGTCTAAGTAATTGTCCACGGATTGGTCCTGCATAAAATATGTTAAAAGAAGAAGTATTGGATTGATAGGTCGACTGTCAAGAGTAAATATTATTAGGTTTGGTACCTTTAACTCGTGTATTTGTAATTAATGAACAAATTATTTATTTATTCAATATAGAG